TGTCCAGACACTCAGCATGTGCTTTGTTCCTGCTACATATTCATGGCTGACATTGACAATACGGTATACAGAGGGTACAGGTCAGAGGTCATTCGTAGTCTCATTACATTGACTTCTTTTGACGCTTTGAATAAAAACGTACAGTATTTATGAGTGGGAATAAAGATGTGCTTGGCCGGTCTAACATTTAAGACCTTGCTCAGGAGAACTAACGCTGATAATGCCCTCGCCTGCAGCTCAGACATTAGTCAGGTCCATTCTTCTGAGCCAGTCTTAAATGCACGTTTAAGACCGGCCAAGCACATACAGTATATATTCCCTTAACCCTAACACTCCTCAGTCCTCCAACAGGTGAAGGATTGAGGAGGGTTAGGGTTAATAATTACCACTATGATTACTGATCAAATTCATTAGAATGCAGCAGTCATGCATGTCATGCAGTTCAGCCTTTATGCTTCTACTGCTGCATCAAGTAAGAGTTGTCTTGTCTAGTTTCCCAAAATCTAACAGGTTTCTTGGCTTGCTGGGCATTTATCTTCATGATCTTATAAAGACAGGAAATCTTCAATTTCTAGCCAAGCCATGTCATCTGATGGTCAGGATGGAGCTATCCAATTGGATTCTCTGGAGATTCCAACAGCCTCATACACCCTGTCCAACTCAACAACATCTCAAATGTCATCTCCGAAAGTCTCCTTCACTTCACTGCTGCTTCAGATACAACAATTTCATACAACAGAATTGCAGAGTGAGTAAAATTACATGGCTTTGACTTCAAAATAATTGGCCACAACTGGAAACACACATAGATCTACATATATATTTCTATAGGCATTACAGCAAAAGGATTATGGTCTTTTTGAAGGAGCATCATAAGCCACAACCCAAGTTACATGTATATCCATAACCTTCTTTAAAGTCTAGTTCCCAATCTTATTTTAAGGTACATTTCTATGCATATGTGTACTAATACATGTTTTCATTGAGCTGGTTTACTGACTGGCCCCAGCCTGTCATGTGTGCAGAAACATTGTGAAGTTTTTTAAATTCTCACAAAGCTCCTCTTTCAACACACTTCTTTTATCAGAACTCCAGGACAAAATAAGCAGATGGAAGATGAGATGCAACAAGTTAGCCAAAGTCTCCAATGAGTGAGTCATTTTGACATTTTAAGATGTTTTACATGTATATCAAAGACATTCTCATGGGGTTTACCAGTTTATTTCCTCTTGTTTAAATAGAGAAAAAGGTTTTGATCATTCAGAATTTTCACAAATTTCAGAAGTTGAAATCTAAGTTTAAATGAATATCCCCAACTTTGGGCAAATTTTCTCTTATGATTCAGAACCTTGCACTGGTTCCAGGAACAGAGGAATTTAGAAACTGTACTTACATGTTTAAGATACATGAATCTCTGTAACATTTGTTTTTCAGGAATGCCAGCATAGCTAAGAAGTATTACAACCAGAACAAACTCCTCCAAGCTAAGGTCATTGACCTCAAACACCAGCTAAGAGTACTTCCGAGTGCAAGGTAAACATTGCCTTGACACACTCTGTGTTCCTTCTTTGATTGGTACAAGTTTTGTCCAAAACTCTTTCTCTTCTCTCTTCAGCAGTATTTTCTTGAAAAAAAATGTGTTTCAAAAGTAGAAACAAGAAGATAAACATAGGATTAAGAGGTCAAAATGTATACATGCACTTTGCTTAAGCATCTTGCATAGAACCTTAAAATGAGAGTACATTATTGACAAAAGGGTATTTAACATGTTGCCTTACATCTATCTCCACAGACATGATGGTGTGATTGATACCTCCAAGATGCCAGCCAGAAGTGGGGACCAAGGTACTCTCATTATAATAAAATCAATTTTCCAGATGTTTTTTCAACCAAGGCCACACAAGATTGATTGATTGGTTGATTGATAAGTTGATCATTTAAATCACTTAAACCCCCCCCTGGGTTCCCGGTACCGGGTACCTTGGGTTTGTACACAAAGTAGGGATGCCCAAAATTAGACAAAGGAGCTGGGTCTTGTACCAAAAGACTATACTCGGGAACAAAAGACCGAACTGCTGGGAATTGCCATCATATTTTGGTTGGCAATGGTGGAGGTAATCCATCATTGTTTTGAAACACTACACCACTGTTTGTGGCATTCAGCGCCCGCGGATTATCAGTGAAGATAAAAGTGCTCCAGCGATGAGCGATGCAGTACCGCTGCACATTAATCCGGCTGCATTTGAAAAGACACCTCTGCCATTCACACAGGTTCACCCCTTTCACTTAGTTTGTGCATATGTGCTAAAATTTGTTAAAGTCTTGGTCATTTTCCGTTGCTTGTTAAAATAGCGATGCCAGCCAGCAAACAACTATACCAAAATCCATCTGCAGAGATCTTCCACATTGTGTAAAAGTTTTCTGAATATATACCATAGAAATATAATCAGGCTTCAGATTTCATTTTATGATTTTTTTTTGTGAACCATAAATGACATTTGGCAGGAAATGGGATAAACAATGTCTATGTACTTTACATTTCCAAACATAAAAAAGGGTATTGTAAACTTGAAAATGTAAATGTTCTTCAGGTTTTCCACACATGCTTAACCACTTCGCGCCAGGCCCATTTATCCATGTTGATTCTGCTGGGCCGGGTAATTTTTCGTTTTTTCTGTTTTCAAAATTCTTTAACAATTTCTCACTTCACGTTTACACCCACAGGAATGACTGTCTGGGGGCTACATTAATCCGAGAGACATGTATTGACGCCTGAGTATTTCAGCCAGGCCTGCCGCCTTGTAAAAAGAGCCCAGATTGTGCGGTGTTATGTAATTTTCTTTTGTTCCCGAAACCAGCACAGTGCTCTGCTGGCGTCTTTTCAATAGGGGCCAGATTCGCGTGCAGCTGTATTGTATAATCTTTCAAAACAATGACGGATTTCCCCCGCTATTCAGCTATTGACAACTGAAAAAATGTTGGCAATTCCCAGCAGCTCAGTCTTTTGTTCCCAGTATGGTCTTTTGTTACAAGGCCAAGCTCTTTTGTCTGGTTTCGGGCAGCCCGGCTATACGTATAAAGCCAATGTCTCCGAAACTGGGCTCACTGGCAGCAATTGGGTAAAAATTGAAAGTGTTTGAAAAAGGTTACCATGTTATGTTTAAGCTATTGCGAATTATCCATGTTTATGTACTCCATCAACGCACATTAACATGGCGTATACATGCATAGTACTACGGCAAAATGTTCAATTTGCAATAACTTAAGAATACTACCGATGTTTTTATTGGGTCTTAATGCACACGGCACTTTATTTCATTTGTTTGGATAAACTGGGGAAGTCGTTTTGAAATGGGAGAGACAGTGGATGTATTTTTTTCAAATTTGATCGTGTTTATCTTTTTTAAAGTCACTCCTTCAGAATTTGTTTCAAATTTTGTGCAACTGGGTTGATTCTAATATGGTGGTTTAATGTTTTCTGATCAATTTTAGTTATCTGGTTATCTCTGTAAACTTCACTTATTTTAATTTTTTTAAAAATAAATAATGATCTCCATCCAAGGAAAGAAGTGTCGGAATGATGTCCGATGTCACCTGCCTCGAAATCTACAGTAAAGTGATCAAGTGCGCATGCGCTTACTCTCAACTAAGTGGTGCACAAGGGCATGGGAGTGAAAATACGTGCATTCAGCAATGCACCGGGTCAATTTCGGGAACAAAGGAAATTATTCAACACCGTACAATCAGGGCTCTCTTTACTGGGCGGCAGGCCTGGCTGCAATACCTGGGTGTGAATAGATGTTGCCTGTCAGATTAGAGTAGCCACCAGATAGTCATTCCTGTGGATGTAAACGTCCAGTAAATGAAGTTACGAAGTTTTGAAAAATTTAGAAAACGGAAATCCTTGAAAATCACCCGGGAATCCGGCAGGAAGTGGTTAATGGATCAGTGGAAGGATTGATTGAATCACTGATTGATTTTGCTCTTTCATTTGTTTCGACAGTAGGTCAGTCAGTCAGGTGGCTTCATAGCCTTGATGCTGGTAATGATGGGTTTTTTGTCGAGTGTATTTAAGGCTGTCGCAACTATGAGATAATGAAAGATTGAAGAGAGTTGGCATTTTGGGTAACAGGGAACTATTCTGTCTACCACTAGCCATTCATTATTCTTGAAGCATGCTTCAGTGTTGACATTGGTGGACAGTTCCATTGTACATGTACATCCAATGATGGCAAGCAGTCAGGATCCCATTTTTATTTCATGAAAACTTGTTCACCCCCCCTCCTGTGTAAATTGCAATTACTGGAAAGACAGCAAACTCAGCTTCTTGTATTGACTACCACATTCTCATGACAAACTGATATTTTACATTTCCTATTTCACAGCTTCACCAAAGCTGAAAACTCGTCTTGCAAACGGAAGCCCTAACAAGAATCTTCTCAAGAAAGCTTTCCATTTACCTAGCAGACTGACATCAAAGAAATCTAACAAGAAAGTCCGCTATTCTGAGATAACTTCAATACGTAGCGGTCAAAATCCTTCCATTGAAACATCCCAGTTCAACATTTCTGAAGAGACTCAAAAAAGAGCGAGTATCACCCCCAGCATTTCTGGAATGACAGCACAGAAGAAGACTCTGTCTATATGTCAAGATTCGCTGAACCAACCAGTTGCTATTGCAAGTCAAGGAGGCAATATTGTAGTACCAAATACTTGTGTATCACCATCAATTCAGGATCCCCTCAATCTCAGGAGTTCAAAGCCAGGGGCCATGATGGTTGGCCAGGACACCTCCAGGCAAACATTGATGAGTGACCCTATAACAAGAATAAAGGATCAGATTATACACACTGTCCCTGAGACTTTGGGTCTTGACATTGATAATGGTACAGTTATTGAAATAGATGATGAAAGTCTTATTGAAACTCCAACCTTTGCAAGCACTCCCATAGTAAATCATTCTCAGATGTCATTGTTATCAGAGCCAGTGTCAGTGCAGATGCTGAATTCATTGCAGAACCCAGGTTCCCCTCGACTAAACAATTCACCTGTGGAAACCTCAAAGAGGCAGCCATCACAAATAGTTCCACTTACAACCTCAATGCCAAGATCTGAGTCACAATACCCAGTAGATTTGAACAGTACTCAAGTCAAGTCACCCACATTTTGTGGCGAAGCACTGGCCACCCCTGAAAGTGCAAGTGGCAAATCCTGGCAGCACAGCAAGAATGATTTGTCGAGGAATATACCAACACTGTATGGGGGTGATCAGTTCGGAGCTTGTGCAACAGATGAAAGCTATCAATCAGAAGCTTCAATGTTACTTCTTAGACCTCATGTTCCAAAGAGATTTGTCCATCCACATTCCTCCCCTCAAGATTTGCCCGACAACAGAGTGACATCTATGAAAGCAACAATTTTACAAGAAGCATGTAAGTTAAAACAGGAGGGGAAAACATCCCCAACCTACATGTGTTCTACTAGGATGGCAAGAGATATGCGTAGTCCCATCACTCCAGCTTCAGCTTCTGAGGAGAAGCACGAACAGGGCACTAACATGATGCTAACATTGCACACGAACGTGCTAAGAGTGCCAACTTCAAAAAAGAGAAAACTAGACCTTGATGAATCAACTGTGTATGATGACACTGTGTGCCCGAGCCATAAGGCTCTGGGAAAGGAGAACAGTCCCGAGCGTCTTGACGACACAAACCAAACATCTTCAGACCAGAAAAGCTCTAAACAAACTAACCAAGGGAAAGAGCTTGTTGAAAAAACAGTCGCTAAGGTTCAAGCTAAGGGCATGAAAAACCTAAAGCAGAGCAAACTCACACTGAAGAAGATCAAACCAGGTATGAACAAGTCTGCTAGACTCATGCGAGAGTACAATGAGGATAGTCTGGTGAATATTGATTCCCAGGTAGATACTTTCATCAATCAAGCAATAGAGTTATCACTCAGGGAGAAAAACTTCAGAGGAAATGAACTTGGGTCTAAAGATGTTGAAGAAGGATTTAAGGTTCCAAATGTGCCACAGAAGAAACAACAGTATCCAGTATCTCTAGACACAGGTGTGATAAAGAAGGCATCCCATCAAGATGTTACAGAAGCAGATCAAATTGACTCAGACCTTTCACATATCTTAGATTTGACACATTCCCCACATGACTTGAATGGTACCATCGATCCACTGATGGATCTGACAAGATTAGAGACTGGAGCATCACAGTCTACCCACCAAGTAAACCTATCTGACAGAGGAGGAAGCCATGACCATAAGTTGTTGGAAAGAAACCTTGAAGCACATCTTAAAGCAGGTGACAGAGATTTGAACATGTCTGAGGCTGGAGATGATAGCTGTCAGGATTTGTTTGGTGATGAGGTCAACAAGGATAAGCCTTCAGAAATGATGGAGATATCTAGAGATACAGATGAAGTTGCATTTGTCAAGAACTTTGATGTGTGAGTTTTAAAAATTTATTTTGTCTGTCCAAACTCATAAGACTTGAAATGTTTACTGTCGACTCTCGTTATAAAAACACTGTTATAACAAACATATTAACTTACATGTATGTACGACTGTGGCATTGTTCTTTAAATGCAAGTAAGTTTTTTCTTATGTCTAAACTTTTCTGATCTGTTGCCCATTTGCAGAATTCCTAAGGTGATGGACAAACCAAACTACAAGTACACAGAGGTTGTACGTAAACATGATGAGAGACAAAAACTGAGAGGCTTTGGCTGCAAGGATTGTGAAGCAGTAAGTTGCACAAGTTTGGTGGGTTTTTTGCAGAATTGTCCAGAATTGTGCTACTTCAGACGACTTTATAAGCATCATACGAAGCCCAAAACTTTACTGATTTTAAGACTGGCCTTGTTTTTTTGATGCATGTGCATAAAAGGTATTAATAATGCTGAATTTGTCTTGTTTTTCCCATTCTTGACAATAAAAGTTCTACAGAGATTTGTCACTGACTTCCACCCAGCAAGAGATGAGAATGAAACTGTGCTCCCGACACCGCGCTCAGTCTAGTCCTACAAACACTCCAGAGCATTATTGGTCAGTAGGATTTCCAGACACGCAGACATGTCTGGAGAGAGGTAAGACATTTTGTCTTCAGGCAATCTTGAATTCTTGGTTCTGATTAGTCAATCCATGGCAGCAAAAAGTGTCATATATAACTGTATTGCACGGTTTATATGAAACCCTGCGTAATGCACCACTCAACTCAACGCATTGTGCTACTTTTGCCTGTGCTGACCGTCACACGTTTAAATGCACATATAGTTCCTTTCTTAGTGTGAGCCATATTGTTAAAACACAAATAATTCCCATGCTCCCTAGATTCAATTGCAGAATTCTGGTACACTGGTGTTACTGTTTTGGCTGTGCCCCATGTCATATATCTTTTGTCTTCTTTTTAATGTAAAGCGCGCATTGGCCCTTTACTTTCTTTACTGCACGTCAAGTTTGCTTGAAGATAATTCGTTATCATGCTCACGCTCACGGCACAAGGAATAATGTAGTGCGTCTGTGTCCAGTATGCCACTTGGCCTTCGACCTTGCAGCCTACTGGACACAGATACACTACATTATTCTGTGTTCCACTCATGTTCATGTGATAACTAATAGTATCACAGCCATGAGAAACTTCAAAGTAAACAAGAGGACAGTTGACAAAGATGTGCATTATTATATAGCTTAAGGATTGGACGTTAGGACAGTATTGGTAAACATCAGCCATATAAAGATGCCAAGAAACTTTCAATTAGTTTTCACAGGGTCCCCATAAATATGGATTTAATCCCATTTTAAGTTTGTTTAGCGATTTATTCGAAACTAAAAGTATTTAGATGAAAAGCCTAAATATCAGTATTTTTGTAACACCTATGTTTAAGCCTGTTTGTAGCCAATCAGGAATGCAGATTTTTTTCTTTTCCTTGGTTATTTGTAAAAGGCATCAGGTTTTAAAGGAATATTATACATGAATCATTCCCTTTTTCCTGATTTATAAAGTTGCTTCCTTTCTTTCTCTAGCAATTTATCCTTTTGGTTTTCACTTGTTGTAAAGGTTACATTAGAGAGAGCCGAAGCCCAGAAAGACGCTCAAGGTCGAAAAAGAACAAATACAAGAAGCTCTTTGCTGGAAAGGAAGGTGTTAACTTGTGATGTACATTTGCATTCACAAAAAAAACCCCAGATACATTGATTAGATTGTATGAGAATACTAGTAGCAGATGTGATCACACATATATGGGCAAAATTAACCACTTTGTGCCGGGGCATTTTTCAACGTTGATGATGCTGGGCCGGCATGACTATCATTTTTTCCATTTTCAAAATCCTTTCAAAAATTCATCATTCCATTTAACGGTCGTTCATAGCTGCACGAAGTAATCTTTAGGCACTATTCTAAGTTGACAAGTGACCTTCATTGATGCCCGAGTATTTCAGCCAGGC